AGCATCAATGTTGCATTTTTGTCATATTTCATTTCCTCATTGCACTAGAAAGCACAAATCTAGGAGGTCTGAATACCATCTTGTGAACAAGAGGTAGCTCCAGTGTGTGTAAAATGCTACTGCTGAACTAACAACTGTTGAACTGTTTTCACCATTCGTAAGGCAAATTATATTAGGATTCCAAAGGAACTGGTAAATAATGCCATGCCATGCAATTTATATCTAGGGTCTCCACCTAAAGAGCATAAGAAATACCTGCTGATTGTATCCATATTTTTGTTTTTGATTATATTTGTCTTTTCATTTTTCTCAACATAGAACCTGCTTGCTCTAACTTCTAATGTTATTTTTTGAGACTTTAAATGGTTTTCCTCAATGTCATTATTTCAAGATTTTATATGCGCAGGTATTTTACGTATTGGTTATTTTTCTTAATGTCTAGACAAGTGTATTATTTACAAAAAGAAATGTTTATAGAAAAAAATGTAATTTTGAAAAAGCTTACTATCTGGGCTATTCACTTATTGGTTTGTTTTGGGGTTTTTTTTTGTGTAGTCTAAATTATAACCTGTTTACTGATATTTTGGTTTGATTTCAGGTTACCATTGGCCAGCTGTATGCCACAGAAAAATTGGTCATTGAGAGTCCGGGAAACACATAGCCAAGAAAAGTCTCTGATCCTGAAACAACACTGGACCATCTTCAGCATCCTACAGTGCCACATACAGAAACTGCACATGCACATTTCTGAGTTTGTCTGTTCAGCATAAGAAATGCCTGAGAGACTGTTTTTGGCAACCAAAGTTCTATTTTCTAAAGGGTCACATGTTCTAAGATAAATGGCTGTGATTTATAATAGTGTATAAGGTAGTCTTAGAATTTGTTTGTTTGTGTGTCCTATGTGAGGGAATAGTTCCTGCCTATTTCAACAATAAAACTTCATTAAACTACCTGCAACCAGCTACGTTATTTTGCTGCTGACCTTGTCTCTCACTGACCACAAAAAACATGTTAGATTTAAAACCCCTCAAAATTTAAAACTCTTCACCCAGTTACTAAGTTTTTATTAATCCTGTTTCACTTTAAAATATCCAGCTTCTGAACTAAATGAGTAAGTCCATTTTTTATTTGAAGTATTAAAACCAGAGATGGTCAGAATTTTCATCTCCTGGACTTTGATACTTAAACATATCACAGGCTGCATTGTGTGGTTTCCTTGAAGAGCATCCCTTGACATTTCAGGAAGTGACATAAAAAATTCACTAGTTCTTTCTTTAGTTTCCAAGAGTTAATAACCAGTCTTATCTTGCTTTTAACAATTAACTGATCAGAATAGCAGAATGTAAGGCTTGAATTACTGAGGCTTGGGAGCTTTCAAATGTTTTTTCACCCCCAAGTCCTTTAATTTATTGAGGTGCAGCTATTAGCAGAAATCTCCACATCACTTTATCAAAGATTTCCCTTCTTTCACAAACATCATGAAGAAAAAGAACATAACTGGAACAGTAACTCAAGTACTGTAAGTCATGAAGTGGCAACAAGCTTTGCCTAGAGAAGGTGCTCAGCATAGCATTTTATTGATTACTCTTAAATCCATAGAATGCTCAACACTTTTAAGACCACAGATTAATAAAAAAGCGAACAAAACTTTTGATCAGGTTTTGCTCAAGTCATTGCTGTGCTTGAATTTGTTTTCTGTTAGAAATCTGCAGAAAAATTAAGCAGTGCAAAGCTGGCATGCAGGAAAAAAATAGTTTCCTTTTATTTCAGTGAATTGTTGTGGGTTTTTTTAAGTAGAGAAACAGAAACTCAAAACTACTTCCGTGGCATTATGGCCTTTGAAATCCACCCCTTATTTTTCTTGCTTCACAAAATTCATCTTTGTTTATGTTCTTCTGGGTTGTTTGTGCTCTGTGAAATTATTAAAGCTGAGTGTCTAATTAAAGTGTCTAATTTAGAACAAGCTCCCATTCCTCACTGCCCCTTAAAGTGCATTTTACCATTTTGTACAGTTAGATTGAGATGTATAGTAATGGATTTCATATGGACAATACAGTGTACAGAATAAAATAGTGTGTACCTGAGACTGCCAATGTAGGGCCCTTTCAACTTCAGATAAAAAGCAATTACAATAGTAATTCTTCCAATATTAGGTTTATAAGTATTGCAGTGTAAATTGCTTTTAGTGAACATTTTATTAAAATGGAATTGAATTGAATTATTCTAATAGGTAATATACATTAGATTTTGTATTTGAAATCTCCACAACTGGATAATTAAGTGCACTTAAGTTAATGGTGAAAGTGCAGGGGAAGAAGGGTTTGATTGCTCTTTAAGCTTCCAGTGAGCTCACAGAAATGCAGCATCTTACACTCTTGGATGACACAGGCCTGGAAGAGCTGCCAGTTTTATACTGTTAGAAACTTGGTTGCTAAAACAGTACATGTAAAATCCTTGTCTAAAAGAGCTTAATTACTGGAACAAGCACTGCATACCATTTCAAGATCTGAGAATGTATGCTAGAAAGCAAAATAAACATATTTAAAAATAGCATAGCCCTGATTTATAAAGAGGGACAACTGCATTGGTAACTAATTTTTTTTTTTTTTTTTTTTAATAAGGGAACTCTTCCAATGCATAATCAGTTCTTCAAAAATACCTTTCCAGTGAAGTTCTTCAGCATTGTTCCCAACAAGAATACAGCTGTAGATGGTATGTCCTGTCATCCGGCAGGCAGTCATGGGAATGTGAAATGTCTTATTAATTCCTTCTAAAGTATGAAGATTACTTTTCCATTAATGCCTAAAAATTCTGTTGTTAAGTTTTTGTGGTAGATAAAACACTACTGCAGTCTCAGTTCATGGCATCTGCTCCAACCTTCTTTCTCAAGGTTACCACTCAGATTCTCTCTCCCTTACTTACTTCTACCTTCAGAGAAGCAGTAGTAACCATCAGAGGTTCATTCTACAGAGAGAATCATCCAGGCAGCAAGGGGAAAAAAGTAGTGGTGCTCTGTAATTTCCCTCTGTTCCCAGTCCGTACTGCAGAGGGTAAGACAGCTGACCTTCTCAGTAAAGGACAAATTAGTTCTCACTTGAAATTACTGATCAGCTTATCATACAGTATTTATACATTACTTATTAGAAGCAAGGTAAGAACTCCTCTGCTGCTACAGTCCACAAGTCTGCGTAACACTGTCTAGCTTGTTAACAGCAGTGCAAAGCTAGCAAAGGCATTATCACTCCTCAAACCCAACAGCATTTTGTCCCAATTCATTTTAGATGCTTGTTCCCTGTTTTGGACAGGCCTGTATTTTTCCTTTGCTTGTAACATAGATGTAAGTGCATGGTCAGTTAGTGTTAATTATGTGCATATCAGTTGTACTGACTGAAAGATACCTACAAATATATTTTTCCCTTACCTGATGTACATTTTAAGGGATATTGTCAAAACATGCCCAGTTCTGTACAAAAACATAGCTTGACAATGCTTTGGCATTGAAATCCTACAAGCTGTGGAAAGAAAATACTTGCTAACCAGACCTGGCTTACGAAGTCAAGCCCTATTGTAGGCTGGGATGACTTGAGTGTTGTGTTGGTGTCCACTTGCCCTGTTCTTGCTCTTGGCTAGGGCTGTGCTCATCGCTGCCAGTGGAGAGAGCAGCCTGGAGAGCTGGCACTGTGCTCCAGCCTCGGAGCTGCTGTGCTCTTACAGCTGCACCTTCTGCACTTCACCAGTTCCGTTTACGTTGCAATACTCATTAAATCTCTCTTGGCACGCTGTCAGAAGCTTTGTTGGATTTTGTCAAAGCAGTGTAAACAACAGGAATAGTTAAAACACAAAGGAATGATCCCATGACTTACATACAATGTCCACTATTATAAAAAGTATATATTTTTTCCTTAGAACAGAGCTCAATAAATGTCTTTACTGAAGCTGCAATGTCTTAGCAAAACAATTTTGCTTTTGTATTAAAAGTGGTTTTTTTCCCGATCTCGACACTTTAGCAAACTATTGACCTCAGCAGTATGAACCAAAATTTGAGTGTTTGCCTATACTGAAGTTTGTCCTTACTTTTACAGGATAAGCTTGGAAACAGCACTCTGAAAGGAAAAAAAGAACAATTTGATTGGTATTAGTAACTGTTCAAAGGACAGGCATTTCTGTTGTGTGTTACAACCTTTCAATAAATATTTCTGCAATTGAAAGCATGGCTTCAAAATGCCCAGATATATCATAGGTACAGATTCTCAGGAGGAGAGCAACCCCAGTGAGAAGCATGTGCTTTACATACAGTGTTGAAATAGGCGAAGGACTTTGACTTACTACTCACTTTTCTCAATTTCTATTAACAAAAAAAAACAAAAAAAAAAAAAAAAAAAAAAAAAAAAACCCCAGTGAGAAGCATGTGCTTTACATACAGTGTTGAAATAGGCGAAGGACTTTGACTTACTACCCACTTTTCTCAATTTCTATTAAAAAAAAAAAAACAAAAAAACAAAAACCAAAACAAAAACTTCCACATTTCCAGGTATTGAAAGCAAAACTTTTACCCCCTAACACCAGCAGACAGAATAACTTCATGGAGAAGCACCAGCCCCTCAACTTCCTGTAATACAACATAAATGCACCTCTCCCGATACCCAGCACAGACCATACGTACGTGTAAACAGGGCCATGAAAGAGCTGTGCTCTGACTGTTTTCCTGAGTTTTCCATCATGATCTACAGTGAAATCCTGGCATTATTCAAGTCAGGACTATACTGTTTGCTTTATTCCATCATTCTTAACACAGGCATAGTCATTTCAAACTCTTGGGAATATTTTGCTTGACGACCTTTATAAAAAAAGAACTAAGCTGTGCAGCTCCTTAACTGAGTGTTTACATTCCTACTTTTTTCACTATTTCAGAATATAAGAATAGTGCATGAGGCCTTAATGTGAAAGCAGAAAGAAAGAAAAAAAAAAAAAAACAAAAAAAACCACAGAGAAGCCAGTAATTCTTCCAAAACCATGTATTTTCTACAACTGTAGAAGGAAAAAATTTGTAACTCACAAACCCATTTCATAAACATATGCACCTTCAAAAAGATTCCACAGCTTACAGAGGTAATTAAATATGTTTTGCAAGAGATGCTTCTTTCTAAACTACTTACCTTTTTTGCTGTTAAACCAGTATCTACTGAAGCTTTGCAAGAGGGGGAGATGGTGGTAATTAGTGCATTAAAGTATCTACTCTTCTGTGTTCAGGAAAAAGAACTATGGAGACCTGTGAAGAATGTACAGGCTTTCTATTGAAAGAGTACTCCCCCATAAATATTTATAACAGTCTTTGGCAATATGCTAATCCAAGGCAAGTAATTTTCCCTCTCTCAGAAAGAATCATGAAAAAACAATTAAGGTGATTTAATTACTGCCATGCACAGACAGCAGATTTTGAACTCTTGACAGATGAACATTCATCACAGTGCCATGTTATCCTAACCCCACAACATAAGACTCTGAACAGAATGGACAATTAAACCTAGATCATTTCCCTTACCTTCCTGCAGTACTTTGGGCTGGATCCAAATCCCAGCGAAGCCAATGGGAGCAGAAGCCAGACTTTCCAAGTACTGACTGAAAGCTCCAATTTTAAATAAAACAGAAGTAGTTTTCATGCAAGCTTACATATCTTCATGACACCAAAGTAAATTTAGCTTCAAAGCCCTTTCCTGAATCATTTAAATCTGAATTTAAAAGTAAGTGTACATGGCAAAAAATTGCTTAAGGAAGATTTACCTTTTATGTCCTTCACAGTTACCCCTACAGAGTTTCAACTATATTAAACTTTCTTCATTTATATACACCTATAAAGCCATTTGGCAGCTATTCCTACTCTTAAGTCCTTAATCCACGGTGGGGGAACAGAAATCTGCATAGAATAAAAATCTTTGGAGCTGGAGTTTTTCCATAAGTGCAATAAACCTTAAATTTCTTATTTAGGTTAGGGGAGGGAACATGTTTATGAGAACATCTTCCAAAAGTTATGCTTTGAATCTTTATGAAACACATTAACAGTAATGCAACCAAACAGAAAGAGTGCTTCACCTAACATTTCACTCTACTGGCCTTGAGCTTTTAATGGAATTAAAACAACTACATTTTGATTACATTCCTTTGAGAATAATGTTGCAGTTATGCCATGTGTCTCAACCTATGGCCAGGAGCAGGAGCCCTGGGGTTTGTTGATGTGGGCTTGCAAGCCTTTGGTACACACATGGTCCAGTTGGATTTTTACAGCTGCTGCCCAGTGTAATCTCTGATAAAGCCTTACATTTCCATAGCCCTCAGGAACCCCAGCTATGAAAATACAGACAATTGTGAGTAGACTGTCTTTGAACCCTGCTTTGTAAATCTATGCTTCTGTAAAGTCCTAAGAGCACAGAAATGTACTGTCTATCAAAAAGTGAGTATGTCTGACTCCCATCTAGAGGTTTTCCCCTTCCTTTCACAAAAAGAATTCTTAATAACAAATAAAAGCACTTCACCAGGTATCAAAGCACAAAAATGTTGTGCTTTAATTATCGCAATTGGCAAGATTTTCAATTGGCACCAAATTTCTGAAGCACTCAGAAGATTTTAGTATCTAGCCTCAGCGAGTACTTTCCTGCATTTTGAATTTCAGGTCACACATCTGAAAAGCACACAGAAATGTCACATGTTCTGGATATCGATGTTTACAGTGGACCTGAGAACATTTCCAGGCCTCTATCACTAGGCACAGCTAGCCAGGATTCTTCATGGTACCACCTCTGCCCAGACACAGCCATCAGAACATGGCTGCTCCTTTAAATTCTGTTAAGGAGAGAGCTCTCCAGTCCTTTTTCTGGCGATGTTTTCTTCTTCTCTGAGGCAACTAATAAACACAGCACAGAATAAGGAATGGGCTCCAGAAATCCCAAATATTATATTGTACTTAAATGAAGGATCAATCTTGACACTACACTGAGAGCACACTATTTCAGTTTAAGAGCACACTATTTCATTGATGCAGCAATCTGAAGAAAGGCTAATTCATACCAGGTTATCCCATGTAACATCCTGTAATCCTGTAATGCATGACAGATTTAAAACAAACTTGTGTAGGGAAACAGCAGAGTTCACTATTCTCCCTTTAAACCTTTTTGGCGAGAGTTCACGTGTAACTTGAAGGACAACAGCAGGAACTTCTGTTTGCCTGCACAGAGCTCTCCCTCTGTGCGTTGTCAAAGCAACTGATACAGTGTAACAGCAGAATGGTTTCTGAAGGAATTAAACACCTCCTTGTCCCTGGCTGTATTCTCACACTGTGCTGTATGCACAGGCTTTTTTGGGAGGAGGGAGGACAGGCTGTGTTTCAGCAGCAGTGCGCATGTGAGCAGAACTGCAGCACCTTTAGTCTGAAGTTCCCTCGGCTTCACGTCTTTCCCCCAACAGACTCCCTGCTTTTAGCTCTGGGTCTGTTCCAGCCATCTCAAAAGGCAGGTTAGATGTAGGCTTGAAAATATTCTCAAGTATGGGGAATCTTATCAATAAGCTGTTTTTTCTAATGTTGTCAGGATAGCCTTTAAGATGTTTTACATCTTCAGAGGAAATGAAGGCCTGAGAAATCTCGCACTATGCTCTGTTTCGAAAAAGGAAAATGTCATTCCATGGTCTTACTGAAGACCATACATCCATTTCAGGGCATCTTCTGCATTCTGGCAATTGTTCTTCATTAACCAAAAATAACCCATATTTTGAGATACTGTATCAAAAGAAAACAAGAAGAATCAAAGTTGCAGAAGAGCCCCAACAAAACTTGACCAAAACCCACCTACTTTCCACCCATGCCAGTAAAGCTTCCTCACAGCACAGCTCTGCTCAAGATGCCTGTCACAGACTTACAGGGTCATTTGCCTCACGGCTGTGGCAGGACAGCAGTCATTTTCAGCTACAGCCCTAAACATCGCTTACAGACAGATGGGATCATCCCTGGTCAGGGCACACACACCACAGGTTGCAAAACTGTGAAGCCTGCTGTTACATTTTGCTAAATAGAAAAAAAAAAAAAAATTAAAAAAGGAAGAAAGTAAGTGTAATGGTGAGCTTTATGGCTTTTTTTTAAACTTTTTTTTTTTATTCTTACAAACCCATTTGCATTGGTAGTTTTTGCTTAATTTCAAGAGTTGGGACACCCAGTAGTAGTCAACCTCTAGACTTGCAGTGCAAGAGTGAAGACTATAAAATCAATTCAAGTGTCCAGCGCCATGAAGTCCAGCTGTGTGCACAACAAAGTCCTTTCCCAGCAACATACAAATACAGAAAAATATGTAGCAAAAAAAGCTGAATAAATTATAAATACTTGAGAAATGTGGTGCAAAATGTAACATAAGGAGAGCTGAACTAAGGCACTTGTTTCCATTTGTTACTGCGGACACCCTCTCTGTATGGCAGCGTCACTCCTCAGTGAGATGGGTCATCCAAACCAGACCCAAATCTGAAAATACAGAACCGTGTATGAGACGGGCACCATCTTTCACTTCACAGTGCATGACTCAAAGGTGTTACCAAAGTTCTCCTGATAAACACAGCATCAGCAAGTATTTTAACTCCTCCTTCGTCCCGGTTTTAGACTCGTTAGTTGTGTGAAAAGAAGTCATCAGTCTATTTTAAGCAAAAACATTTCTGCACAAGTCCCTGTTGGCTGCTATTAGCCAGACGGGATCTACATGCGAGCCTGGGGAGCGGTATCGAAGTGTGTTGAGTGACAAAAACCAGGGCAGCACAGTCCAGCCCCAGATCCAGCCCCAAAACAGAGTGCCTGCTGCTCAGAACTGCCGCAGCCATGGCAAAGGTGGGACGGGCACGCAAGCCTGTCACGGGTTTGACAGGTGCTCACAACTGTGAATCGCATTGTTACGGAGTCCATTGAAGTCAAACAAAATAACTAAAAAAGGACAAAGCACACCATTGCTGTCGCAGTACTGTCTTTCAAATGGATCTGAGAACGGGAAAACTGGGATCCTAAATTAAATCTGTAGCGAACACGCCACCAAGTTTTCACACGAGTGCTCTTGACTAATCGGGTAAGTGGAGTCAAGCCCAAATCAAGACCTCAAAAATTCACTTCAAGAGGGGAAAAGCAAAGCCCACGCTACTCAGTCTCCTTGCTCTCTCTCTCTCAAAAAAAAAAAAAAAAAAAAAAAAAAAAAAAAAAAAAAGGCAAAAACCAAAAAGGAGAACAATTCCACAAACCACAGCAATGCGAGCCTACGCACATCCATGTTTCGCTGGCAGAAACTGAAGCTCCTGCTTAAAAACCAGCAGACTTGGGGCAGTCTCCGGGACGGGGCCCTCGGCGCTCTGGCCGTCTCCCTGCCGAGCCGGGCCTCACTCCGGGCGCGGGGTGCGGCCGCCTGCCCCCGTCCCTGCCCGGCCGTGTCCCCTGGGCTCCCCTCGCCCGGCCGGTCAGTAGCGGGGTGCGGCGGGGGCCGGCGGGGCGGCGGCGGGGCCGGCCCCGGGGCAGCCGCAGCAGCGCAGCGTGTAGTTGCGGCCGCCGTTGTTGTCCCAGAACTCGCCCTGCGGGCTGCGGTAGCGGATGGCGAAGTGCAGGGCCGAGCCCTCCCTCAGGCTCGGCGGGACGCACAGGGTGAAGCCGTAGCGCTCGGCCGGCGGCTCGGGGGGCAGGGGCGCGGCCGGGACGTCCACGAAGGAGAGCCACTCGTTGAAGGTGTAGCGCACCGTCACCTCCCTGGGGCCGGGGCCGCCCAGCACTTGCACCGTGCCCCGCACGTCGGTGGGCGCCGCGGGCCGCCCCAGGCGCTCCAGGCAGACGCGCTGCCGCCGCAGCCGCTCGGCGCTGGGCTCCCCGCCGTCGGGGAAGTCGGGCACCAGGAGCAGCGCGGACGGCGGCGGGTCGGCGCCGGGCGGCGGCGGGTCCCGCTCCTCGCCCGGCGGGCTCTGCAGGTGCGACAGCGCGGCGGGCGGCACCTGCGGCTCCTCGGCGTCGCTGAAGTGCTTGACGCTGGCGAGGCTCAGCCCCAGCGAGTCGGCGAACTGCACCCGCTTCTTGCACTTGCCGCAACAATCTTCGCCCGCCGCCGCCTCCCCCTCTTCTTCCTCCTCCTCCCCCTCCTCCTGCCGCTCGCCGGGGCCGGGGGACGGCGGCCGCCCGCAGCGGCGCAGCTCCAGCAGCACCAGCCGCTCCCCCGCCGCCTCCCGCTTGCCGTCGCGGGGCACCGTCGGGGCCGCGCCGCGGAGCCGCCGCTCCTCGGCCGCCAGCTCCTGCCGCGGGCGTGCGGGGCTCGCCATGGCGGGGCGCCCCGCTG